TCGCGAAACTAACAGTCCCCGAACACGATTACGACAGAAGTCCAATAGAAATACCAAATTTCACACTCAACAATCAAATCTTCTATTCGTAAAAAGCTGTTATACTCTTCAAATCCTCGCAACCCACTTAATTCTTGAAAAGTTAAACAAATAATATCATATATAATTGAATTTCACTGCATGGCATCACCCAAGAAACCGCCGGCAGAAACCGAGCGCGTACCGTCTGCGACCCTACATCAACCAGCTTCGCCACGCTTCCCTTCCGGGACACCCATCTCTGGGGCCAATCGCAAAATCGCGATCGCCGTCGATCTTAGTGACGAAAGTGCCTTCGCCGTCAAGTGGGCCGTTCAGAATTATCTCCGCCCTGGAGACTCTGTTTTTCTCCTTCACGTTCGAGCCACATCCGTCCTGTATGGTGCCGATTGGGGTGCCATTGATCTTTCTGTCGACATCACCACAGCTATGGATGAAAAGTCCCAGCAGAAACTGGAGGATGAATTTGATAATTTTACTACCTCTAAGGTGAATGATTTGGTGCAGCCTCTGGTGGAGGCCAATATTCCGTTCAAGATTCACATAGTGAAGGACCACGACATGAAGGAAAGGCTTTGCCTGGAGGTGGAGAGGTTGGGATTGTGTGCAGTGATCATGGGGAGCCGGGGTTTTGGGGCTACCAGGAGGCACACCAAAGGGAGGCTTGGGAGTGTCAGTGATTACTGTGTGCATCATTGCGTATGCCCTGTGGTCGTGGTGAGGTGTCCGGACGAGAAAGATGGAGGCTCTGCTGATGCTGGTAGTGACAGTGAGGGTTCAACTAAGGCAAGAAAGGATGTTGAGGGGCTTCATCCAGTGCCAGAGGAGGAGCCTTTGTATCATGATGCTTTGGACAAGACTACAGGTATGATAATGCATATCAGACTATAAGCATTAACTTCAAATATGATTTTTATTTTTTTGTTTGTTGCGATTCCATGGAATGGAAGTGAGACTTGTTGGTCTTGTGATTATGAATATAGATTTTGTAACTTCGTCTTTTAATATTGCACTAAATAAGAAATAGAGGGAAGGAAATAAGAGAGGATAAAATAATATTGAAAAGTTGTTTTTTGATGGTTAAATGTTTATTTATTGAAAGTTTGTGTCTATAGTTTAAAAAGGATTGCTGGTGCTGGAGTTCACATGTGGATTGAGAGATTGGTTTTCATGGAAAATGGGATGACTTAGTTTCAAAATTCTGTGCTCATTTAATTATGCAACTTGCAGCTGTTTCTGTAACTTCCAGATTAGGTTTCTTTGAAATGCATGCTGCCCTTTTGGTTGCCTTCTCTATTCGAAATGCATACGGTGACATGACCTTTACATTTGGCTATGTTATTCTGTTAGGGTAGTGTACTTCCTCCCACTTGTTAAAAGATATATCTAATATCTCCAGTATTGATATGCATACATCGATAGACATTAAAGTTTTCACATAAGGTGATCTCTCACTCTGATGCCATTCATAAGCTTTTTCGCTTGTTAAAAATAGAATTTTTGTGTAATTTTAGTAGTAATTCATGATTTCAATTGTTACATTTTTATTTTCTCTCGCAAAAACTCCATTAATGCTATTTTCACACCTAGTTGTAATTTTGAATTTAAAAGAATATTGTGTAAGTTTACTATTGAAGTAAAACTTTAACTTTATAACATTTTATTAAATAAATTCTTATATGTATTTAAATGGAAAGTCACTAATATTCTAATTGTACACAATTTTTAGTAGACATTGGAGTCGACATTTTCAATCTGGAAGGCTATATGTTATTTAGAATTCATTCAAATAATTATCCATTCCCCCTAGAAATGTGTGCTAAATCTTTGTGACTCATTTGTGAACTACCTTTTGGCTGGTTGAATCTTTAGTGCTTGTATTGTACAATTTCATGTGCAGGTAAGCAATAGAACTATTACTTTTATTGGGCAAATTGTGGAGATTTGCATCTATTTTTTCTTCCAATATCTTTTTTGCCCACCTCATTTGTTTGATGGAGAATTTATGCATCCATATTGAAGTAAAAATTGCTCCTTGAATGATGGACCCCTCTCACATGGAATCTTTTAGCAACCTATGATGGAATATAATTACACAACCCAGAAAGAATATTTGATAGCAATAATAATAACAATAACACTGACAATGATGATAAAGTTTGCTCACCTTGAATATGATTTTGGTGCTTGAGTCCAGATAGAAAAATTAATGCTTACTGAAAAAGATGAACAATATGATTAGTATCGTGTAAAATTTATTTGAAGGGGAAGATCACTATTACAAGAATTATATTGTAAAAAAGATATGATTGGACCAATGAAGGAGATGGCCTAGTAAGAGAAATTGGAAGAGAAGGAGATGTTTAAAGCCGAAGTTGTGATACTTTTCCGACTTGAGTTGAACTAAAACTTAAGGTGCTTGTTTGTGTGGAAAATGCTAGATGGACATTGCATGAATTTTTTTGTGTGGGAACTTGATTTATGATAATCCTATTACAATAAGATAGTAATTACTTACTCACTTTTGTAGCAGGATTTGATTTCTAAATTAGATTATCACTTTTTATTCTTTTAGATTTTTGAATACTTATTCTTTTAGGTTTTAATTACGGAAGGATATTATTTGCAAATATAAAAACATTTTTAATAACCAATTCATTACAATCAAATTATTCTCTACAAGTTTTCGAATTTTTCAACTTTGTTCTCGTTTTAAGAATTTTAATTTCGACTTTCACATGAAAATTGGTATTACAGCAAGATTTTTTCCTTGGCTGGCTACCACCTATTGTGGTAGTTTCATGTATCCTTATGATAATGTTCGGATAATAGAAAACTGTCAACCTCAATCTAGAATCTGGAACGAAGAATGGATAGGTTAGAAGATGTCATTGACAAAAAATTGTATATTTTAACTGCTATGAATGTTTGTTGCTTCAACGAGTTCAAGTATCATGGACCGCTAGTTTGGCCCTCCAGGGTTTCATGTCTCATGGCAGCCTTTTCCTTACACTTAGGCCAGCAAGCTTGAAATTACTGGTATGCGCGAATGCTTATGGATAGGATGCTAGATAATACTTGCATATGATCACACAAGTTATACACCTAACTATTAGCGACTTTGTTGTGTTGTATGGGGAGATGACCACTCGGTGCATGACAACTCCCCATTGAATCATCTTACACGCGCATTCATCTCATTGCAAAAATTATATTAGAGCCATTCCCTCATGGATGGGCTTCCACACAGTGCTTCTTCGCATATCTGCCCATAGTAACTCTGTAACGCCTTTAACACCAATCTTCACCATATGTCCCACAAGTATTATTTTTTCGGATGGACGGCCTTTGTCGCAGTGCTACTCCATGTGTTCCAGCGACGACACAATCTCCATCATCATGTTCTGCAATGTGCGCTCCACGAAACAAACTTGACAAAGCACGTAAGCCTATTTGCACAACTCCTAACTTTCTTATCCATCGTCCCCAAAGCTTTCTTCATCAGTTCCGGTTGCTTATCGACTTGGTTCGTGGTCCAATTTTTTTTTTTCAAGAATGCACGTTGATGATCTCCCATAATCAATAATGCACATTCGTGCGGTCCACTTTGATACCAACTATCACGGACTGTAAGTTTGATCCCCGAGGTTCCACACCTCATGGCAATCTTTTCCTTATGCTTAGGTCAGCAAACTCAAAACAACGACACACATGCACGCTTATGGGTATAATGTTAGATAATACCTGCATATGATCACATAATTAGTGCACTATTCAGTAAAATAGGCCATATGCCTAGCTGTTGGTGACCTTGCCGTAATGTGTTTGGAGAGGAGCACTCTCGGTGATTGACACCAAGACACAACAATAGGTGACTTGATATTTTTCTCGAGTCCTTGCTAGGTTCCGGTCCTCATAATGTGATGGCAAAAATTTTAAATTTTCTTCGTCTTGATTGATTACTTTTCTCTTCTTCAACGAAGTTGATGACGAGTTTTTGTCAAGTAGGGGATATTGATGTAGGACAATCCTATTACAAGATATTAATTATTTATTGTTGTAGTAGTAGGATTTTATTTCTTGTTTAAATTCGGGCCTTTTTTTTCTTTTAGATTTTTGACTACTTATTTTTTAGGATTTAATTACATACTCAAGCTATTACGATAAGGATATTATTTTGCCTATATAAACATAGGTTTTGTACAATTTTTCATTAACCAATTCATTATATCAAATTATTCTCTGTAAGTTTTGAATTTTTCAACTTTCTTTTTGAATCAATTCCACTTCCGCACCTGGACTCGTGTTTCTTAAATTGGTGCTTGTTATTGACTTGACTCCGTTGGGAAGTTTGAAGTATAAAGTGACTGCTGTATTCAATTATTAAATATATACACGGTTTTCTTATACTTATTTTGAAGAGATTCTGACTTACGTGACGTAGTGGTAGAGTTCTTAACTCTTAAGAAAATGACTTTTCAAAAGTTAATTGCTGAAAATTTATATGCTTCACAGCTTGATTTAGTCCGTGTAACTTGAAAATAGAAGGTCAACAACTAATATTGCCATATGCCATTTATGTTTGGCAAAACTTATATGAAGGTGGCTGTACATGATATTATATGATGTATATATGTTAATAGATTTATATGATAAAAGATTATATCCAGTGTTTAGAAAATCTTCAACGACTATTGCTGATTAAATATTTACTCCAATTATAGTATTGAACATGAACTATAATTTTGTTGTTTGTAACTAGCACAAGAACAAAGGTAATGTGTGGGTGCTGTTATATAGAATGTCAGAAAATAAGAAAAAAAATTGGAATAATCATATCTGAAACAAGTTTACTATAGTTGATTTGGACATAGATAGTTGTTGCAGCATACTTAACTGGTGACCTGATGTGACGAAATTGAAGTAGGAAAACATTAGCGTATTTATCATTAAGTCTACTGCACTGTCTAAATACGAGTATGAAACAAAATATCTTACATGTGGGCAGACATCTGTACTACTATATACATGAAAGTGGATCAAGACTAAATATGTTCTGCAGACCTTTGGTGAAATTAGAACTAAATCATTCTTGCTGAATTTTTCCTTTTGCTTTGATGTTGGGCATGATCCTACTGAAGGAGGTGGATAGATGTGAGAATACGTTCCACTCCTCTTTCTATTAAATGTGGAGGTGGAAAAAGACTTGTATAATTTGAAATATTATTGATATAAATGCTATAGTATTTGGTTAGAAGCTGCTTCATCTTCAGGAACATTACCAGAAACATTCTTAAAGAATGTCACAGAGGTTGTCTCATCTGAAACAGTAGATTATTTATGAAACTGGCACCTACCTAGTGTCAGTAAGAATGGAGTTTATAAGACTTCTACTTTTTATCTGGAATCTAAAAGAGTTATAAAAAGGTTGAACAAACTTTATCTGTTAAACAGGATTATGAAACTCTCAGGTTATATGATCCTGGAATAGTGAATTGGAAGGATAAATATAAGTTCCTCCATATAGGGTTATTGCAGATTGCACTAAAATCTTTAACTAAAGGAGGTTACGCCTATATTTTGGTAGCCTAAAGAGGCTGCCGCATCTAATTTTTTCAGGTTCTTTACTTGGTCTAATTGAGACTAGTTTATTCAGTGGACCAGTTAAAATTATCTGTTTTCCAATTTTTTATGTTTCTTTAACAGATCAAAATATTTTAGATGTTGAATCCAAAAGTCACAAAATAAAGGCCTTAAGTGAAAACATATAGCTGTTACCTATAGATTTTACTACAAGATCATGACTACTATTAGTACTAATGCTAAAAGAGTTAGCAATTTAGGAGCTAATGCTATGATTGAAAGTAATCTTAGTTTGGAAGGATATTGACCTCCCAGATCAATGGGCTTTAGTAGGAGTAATGGAACCGTCTCCATCTGAAAATAGGAGGTTAAACAAATATTTCAAACTCCCGAAGCAGATGTTGATGTTCTTTTTTTTTTTTGCTAGATTGAGTATATAAGAATTTGAAAAGAAATCTGAAACTCATTGTAGAAGGTCTAGTTCTACTTTAACAGTACTCGTGGGTACCAATTCACCTTGTCTTGGTTGGTTAAAGATGATGTTTCCACAACCAAGGTCAAGGTACCGAGGATTGGTACCTCCTTCCCTCAAAAAAAAAAAAAATGTTGAATATTTACCATGGAGTTTATCATAATGGACCTGGGCCTCCTATTTCTCCTACTGCATCAAGGGGGGACTTATGAAGGCAAAAAGTAAGCCGTTCACAGATTTATTTTTCAAAAACCACACATCTGAAGAAAGAAAACTTTCCAAGAATAATATCATTCTTTATTGGAAAGAAACAAGATAATTGTTCCCTTTATTAAATGGTGAATTAAATCAGGCCTATAATAGGAGCAATTGAGCCTACAACTTCCCAGGTCATCATTAAGGAAGGTCAGACCTTAGAAACCAATGCCTTTGCTAAAGACCAAATACAAGAGAGGAAAGCATTATGAAACTTAACCGATTTAAATTCAATTAAAAAAAAAAACAGTTATACCTAAAAGCTTGTATGGGAAGTGTTTATAAACAATTTTGTTTATATGAATGAGTGGTGGATAAGTGGGTCCCCCATGAAATGTGTGGATAAAAATTGGTTTGATCCTTTTGGATCGTTTATAAACGGGTTTATAAACCAAACATATGCTATGTCTTCTAAAAATAGCCAAGGAATTGGATAGAATTGAAGGCAAATAATTTATCTTTGACATAACATAAAGAATCTATTTCTAATACTACTCAAGATGTAGAATTGCAAAAACCTATATTTAAACCTAGGGATGGCAAAAAAACCTGACAAACTCGATACTCGTCCCGAACGGGCCGGGGATTACCCGCTTAATTGAGTATTTGAGTCGGGGATGGGGTGGGTAACTTTGCCTCGGGGCTAGTTTGGGGTGGTTTACGGGTAACTGGTGTCCCGTCCCGTTTAATTTTTTTTTTAATTTTCACTACTTTGAATTGGAAATTTCTCAAAATTTTATTAGTTTTAATAGAAAATGGCAGTTAAGATTATCTAAAACATATGACAAACAAGCTATCCCTATTTAGACCCACCATGCCAAACTTAGATCTTAAGTTAAAAGCTCTTAACAATGAGTTGGTTGAAGTTATGACTACTAGATTGAAAAATCTGAACCTTTAACAAATAGAAATAGGAGTAATTACAAACTGACGAAACTTCTAAAGAGGAAGATATATTAGTTGGTAATTTAGAAACTCAATTTAAAAATGAAATTGAGTCTCCTATGCAAGTCAATACTACTCATGCTCCTTATGAAGGACATAAGATTAGGAATTATTATTAGTCCTTCTTGGGTCAATGTTGGATATGAACGTGAAGTGAAAGTTCAAGTTTCATATCATGAAAGAACAAATTAGAGGACCCATTCCTATTTATGTATTGGACCCAATAGAAACAAATTGTCCCAATGAATTAGATGACCCGTGCTGTTGAATTTTTTTGAAAAACATGGAAAAAAGTAAAAAATAATAAAAAATAGTATTTTAGTTTAATATTATTATAATCATTTATATGTAATGCATATTTCTCTTAAAAATGCATGTAAAATTATTAGTGTATGAATTTATTAAAAAAAAATAAAATTTTTGTATATAAGATGTATTCACGTAGTCATGCCTAAATTTTGGATCATTTTAAGTGTATGCCATATTCTAAATTTTAGGAAAAATGATCCAACATCTAGATATGTACTCTTATCCGACACACCACCCAAATTAAAACAACACAATCCCCAGCACTGTGGGTTTCTACTCTCATCATTTTGATGACAAACCATTTCAATTTTCTTTTCTATGCATATAGGTACCAGAAATGCTACACTGAGCTTTCTTTTTTTTTGAGAAAATTATATAAAGAGACCATACACGAGGCCCTTGATTGGTTATCATTAACTTTGTTGGAGTGAGGGTATGCACGGGTTGTTTAGCCACTATTTTGTCAATTATAATTCACTGACCCCAAATTTTATCCGGTTGCTAGTTTTGAATGTTTTAGCCTCCATACATTAATTGAATTCTTATAAATGTGTTCGTTCCTCTATTTACTGATCTGGGGAAAAAAGACTAATTTGCTCGTAAGTGTTCATATAATGCAGATGTTGATAAGGCTTCTTGAGCAAATGGGATAGGAGTGGCTGGGTGACTCTGAGCTAGCGAAAGGATCTCTCTCGACGTGGATTTGTGCCATGTGAGAAATGAAGTGTGGTAGTGTTGAGTTCTTTCTTTCTGCTTACGCCTGGGAACTGGAATTTCACCTTGAAGTTCGGATGGATCATTTTCCTTGAGTTTCTTACCATTGTTTTAGGGCCTAAAAAGATTTGCACTGCTTTCCATATTTGCAAGTTACTGTTGAAACTTCTTTGCAAACATGTTCTTCCAACTTTATTTAGTTAAGTGGAAGTTATGGCGGAGCTGGATCATTATATAAAAGGCACTTTCAAACTTTTCATTGCCTAATTGAGTGTTTTGCGTATATGTTGGAGCGTTTGAAGTCTACACGTGTTTTCAGATGTTTGATTTGAATGCTGATTAATACAGACTTCCCAAAGCAATATAGAATCTGAAATTGCAGTGACCTTGATGAGGGACACAAATATTTGAGAATTATCTTTCAAATACTGTTTTATTTTTCTATTTTTAATCGACCCATGTGGGGCTGATCACTATGGGCTAATCGGGCTGGTATGTCCAGCCCCAACCTGTCCATGGTCCTGGTCAGCCTGGCCTAAATGTAGGTCAAGCATCTTGGTTTGGAAGCCCGGTATTTTTTCTGTTCCTAACATGAGAGAGAGAATAGCTTGGACTTCCATGTCTGTGTTTGGCTGAACTCTGAATCTGGCACTCTAGGCCGGGGATAAAGCCAGCTAAAATTTTAAAATGAGATGTAAATTTCCTTGATGGCCTGGGAGGATTTTATATTTTCTTTGAAAGGATTGATACCATTTTCAGGTTGGATATTCTTTATGTGGTTGTCACACATAAGTGAAGGTTTCTGGCATTATACTGATACTTGCAAAGATGTTGATGACAAATGTCAGTTTTCTATTCTTATTATTCATAGTACCTTAGTTAATTTACCAATGCAGTCGGTCAGTCTTAGTTATCATTTTGTCGAGTAATTTTAGAATCAACTTGCCATTACAATACTAATTCGGGCACGTGGTGGTGTCTGGCAGACACATTTCATCTTATGATTCTTAGTTCCAAAGTTACTCTTTACAGAGATATTAATTTGTAGATAATTTGATAATCAACTTGCTAATACGGCAGGATTTGTGTAAAGCACGTGGATGGGTCTAGCATCTACGTTTATTTATTCTCTTAGAATCCTGCTAAAGTTAATCTAAAACTGATAAAATAATATTTTGGCATCTAAATCACCATAGTTGACGCGATGGTCGGTGCTATTATTCTTTTATTTGCCTATTTTTTTATATAGAAAATGTGGGGTTGGTGGGTGGAGAAAGGCAAAATTCCAAGATCTATGATTAATATAAAATTTCATCCCTGAATTGATGGAAAATTATAGTATATTTGTTAGGTTTAAAGACTATGATCTAAATGAGTTGGATTGATGTTGTTTACATCAAACTCATTCGAACCTCGTAATTGAGTAGTGCTTGAAAATATGAAGGATAAGATACAAAATTGTAAGAAATAGATGAATGGTAATGCTTGTTTTTTTGAAACTTGTACGTTACAAATGTTGTTTAAAAGATTGACAAAATTAGAGGATGTGACATTTCCAATCTTGTGTGTTGGGGATTGGTTTCATTGCCCTCAAAATTTTGAGTGGAGTGTGTATCATGTTTTGTATTAGGTTAATCTTACCGTGCTTGGATGCCAAGTTGGGAACTTCAGGAGGCATTGACTTATATGTGAGGTGAACGTAATACCCAAATCTTGTTATGACTTAGATATATGTATCTTCATTCTTTTTGAACTATTATTTCTTTAATACGCATGTCGTTGGCTTGGCTTGTATGTGAAATGAACGTAATACCCTAATATTGTGTTCACTTAAACATAGAACAACTTCATTCTATTTGAATTATCCCTTCTTTAACACGCATGTCATTGGCTTAGCTATCTTTCCAGAATTTCTATCAAGTGTCCAACAATTGAGTTCTAGCTCCTTTATCCAACCTCGAGTATCTTATTGCATTGTCCGGTTCAAATTATCTAGAATTTCCATTATGAATTGTTTGAACTCTTTCATCTTCTAAGATGACTTCATTTGTACCGTCAAATAGATGAATGTAGTACATGACCACATTGCAGTACCACCTAAGAATTGATGCCACACCTACTTTTTAAGATGTGTTCTCCTGTTGGGTTGTGATACCCAATGAATCCGGGTTATGATGTAAATGTTGGATTGAATTTCGTAGGCATTGGTTGATGAGTGAAATTGTTACCAACAACTAAATCCAAAGGCTTGACTCTAAAACAACATAGACTATTGGAAGTAGCTTAAGATATTAATGCTATTCACGGCTCATATATATTACCACTTGAATGACTTTGAATCTTGGCTCATTTAAACTTTTTATTGGCCCAACTAAAGTTTAACCTAATCCTATATATATGTTGTTTCTTACCCTAGCCGTGAATGTATGATTTGTGTGTGAGAGGAGAAAACAAGTCTGCCTTATTGAGAGAGAAAATGTGTGCACATTGTGGAGAGAAAAATCCGGCTGCCATTGCTTCCTTCATCTTTGGTCTCCATTTTGTCTCTCTTTCACTGGTTTTCTTCTTGTCTTTGTGGCTACAAATCATCACTGTTATCTTTTCCTTTGTGGGTGAAATTGAGGAGCAACGGAGGTGAATATATTGGTTGTGGTTTGGAACCATTTGGATTTGTTGTTTGGAAGAGAAAAATAACGTGAAACTAAGCTCGAAAATCACCAATTTGACGATCCTTGGAGCGAGCTTCCGCGACATCTCCAAATCCCTAATCAACAAGAAGTCCATGTTCATGCACAATTATACATCAATTGGTAGGCCAATGCGACATTGTGATCTAAGGGGACTACAGCATAATAAACACGTGGTTACTATCAGAAACTTCAACAAATGAAAAGAAAAATTAAGATCTAAGAGACAGATAAAATGAACCAAGATATTTAAATTTGGCTTCTGTCAATTTCTGCTTATTTTGACTTAATGCATTTACAATACTTTGTTGAGTACAACAAGCTGGTGGGAGATACAAATCAATTAAGATCATCCAGTGAAAGAGCCAATAGATCAAGTCTTTTGCTGAATAATTCTTCAATATCCTTGTCATGTCCATGGGCTAATCTTTAGGGAACTCTTGTCTTGAGATCTTTCATGGTCCTAAACAAGGATTAAAATAAAAGCATGAGAAATAATAATTTTTTGAAAAATGCTTTTTGTACATAATTATTTACATAATGATGAGGTGTCAAAATATAAATGGAGAAATTATTTAATTAATGAGATTTTGTTCCAATTAAATCTCACCACATCATCTGTCGGTAAACCATTATATAAGTTGTTATGTACATGTACTATAATCGTAATTTTTTTATAAAAATTATAGCAACCCACATATCCATTGGAGATGCTCTTACATCCCCATATGCTAGTGCTTTTTTGTTTCTATAAAAGCATGATACTAGGACAATATTAGTAATGGAAAATGGAAAAAGATAAACAAGGAACAGAGACTGCAGCACAAATGATGCAAAAACAAATGACATTGGTGGAAAAAAGATAAAAATTGTGACAAACATTTTCTTATAGTTTGTGCAAGCAGAAACCTTACATTTGGGGGCTGCAAATCATCTGTTTCTCTGCAAAATCTCCTAGATGACTCTTCACTGCTAGAAGAACTTGAAACCAAAGGCACAACTTGATTATCACCCTCATCATCATCACTACCGTCATGATCATGATCATCATCCTGATCCTCCTCGTCTTCACTGTCATTTTCCGCATCACCATCTTCATGATCAAAATCACCGTTGATATTAGGGTTCCTTGTATTGACACAGGACTGACAGACCGAAACTGTGGGTGCAAGCTTGGGACCAGAGCCAGTCCATGGGGTTGAAGATTGGCAAACATGGCAGAGAAGAGTTCTAGTGTGCTTGGCTACAAGAAAGTTTGCTGTGTGGACTCTTGCATCGCAATCCCAGCACAGGATTGCTTGATCCGAATCACAGTACATTCTTGCAGTAGACTTGCAGAGCACACAATTCTTCATCTTCTTAAAATATCTATCTAAAACACATATGGATTGTGTAGTATCTTTGGGTTCTCAGGTCTATTTTATATATCTGTCGGTATCCTTATTTTCCGGTTGAAACCGAGGAAATAAATAGAAGTGAGGAAAGGGGTACAGGTAGCTACTTCTTATGGCTCTGTTTGGCTGCAGCCTATCATATATATTTTGTCGATCCATGGCTATATTGGGACGGAATCATGCCATGGTGTACATCGAGTTTTACATTTTATCACGTGGCAACACATTATTGGACAATTTAAAAACAACACTGTTTTTGGTCCAATAATAGTGTACACAAAACGGTGTACAAATGTGGCATTACCCATTGGGACTGCTCGTTTGTACTGTTGATTGTTTAGAGCTTGTTTGGTAGGGATTTTTGAAAGAAGAATTAATTTTTCAATAGTGATATGATGGGAAATGTGTGGTTGAAAAAAAAAAAGAAAAAATTATTGATGTGATGGAAAATATTATTTTATTGAAAAATGTGTGGTTGAAAATGAGAATTGACTTGAGAATCAATTCTCAAATCACTACCAAACACCCCCTTAAAAACACCATCA